CTATAAAAAATTAAATGAAGCAACTATTGGGAATAGTTATAAATTACCAAGAAAAGATTATATTCTCGAAAGAATAAAAGGAAAAAACTGGTTTAGCAGTCTTGATGCTAAATCAGGATATTGGCAGCTTCGATTATCAGAAGAAACAAAGCCATTAACGGCATTCTCATGCCCCCCACAAAAACATTATGAATGGAATGTTCTTCCATTCGGATTAAAACAAGCACCAACAATATATCAACAATTCATGGATAGAAATCTCCGTGGATTATAAGAGTATTGCCTAGCATACATTGATGATATCATAATATTTAATATCAGACAAAATACCATGGTCTTGGACTAATCAAGATACAAATTTAGTAAAACATATAAAAGAAAATATAAAGATATTACCAAAATTATACAATCCAACGACCAAAGATTTTCTGATTATTGAAACAGATGCATCCAAAGATGTTTGGGCAGGATGCATGTTAGCAATAAAAGATGGAAAAGAATTACTCCATCTTGACCAATACGGTCGTACCAATAATAATGAAGTACCAAAAACCGAAAAACAAAATACAATACTATGCAAATATATTTCAGGAACATTTTCAAAAACTGAGATGAATTATCCAATTCATGAGCTCGAAACACTTGCTTGTCTTCGAACTCTAAAGAAATGGAAAATTGATTTATTACAAACACGGTTCGAATTAAGAACTGATTCACAATACGTAACAGGATTCTGGAGATATAAAATTCAACCAGAATTTCAAAAAGGACGATTAATTCGATGGCAATTAGAATTACATCAATTTGAACCATATATTAAATATATTAAGTCCGCAAATAATTGTTTTGCAGACACTCTAACAAGAGAATGGAAGGAATAATCAAGACAATTAAGAATCAGATCAGTCAGAAAGACAATCAGATTAAAATGATTCAAGAAAATCTCTCAAAACTCTTTGAGGAGAGGGAGGAGCTGATCAAATCTTTGAACATTATCATAAAAGCAACTTGTGGAACGCCGGTAGAAGATCAAAAATCAGAACAAGAAAAAGAATCAGATAAGGTAACACTTCCTACCGACATCAAGGTGGAAGAAAAACCGAACAAATGGTACGCTATTTTTAGTGGACCATTCAGAGGAATATACGTAGATTATGCGATATTTTCGCAACATACCAACGGAAAGAAAGTCTCACACCAGGCCTTCCAAACCAAAGAAGAAGCCCAAAAAGCCTTGAATGAATCATACAAAACCATGGCCCAAAAACAACCAGTTGAACCAAGGGCACAACTACCCTCAATGAAAATACCCAAAATAGCCCAAATACCAACCACACAGGAAAAAGAGGCCCTGAAAAAGGTAACCCTCGAGAAGTATCAGTCCTACTGGGCGTCTCTGGTGGACTACAAGGAAAAACACACTACCATGGGTTTTTACCCAAAAATGACCAGAACCGGACCAAAGGCTATCTTCATTGGAGAAGCCAACCCATTACTAGCCTTCGATTACCTTCAATATGGACTAGTCAACAGTATCTATACTGACTCGATGAGAATATTCGAAGAATTTCCACGAAAGATGAAACCAATTATCAGAAATTACTTCGAACGATTCGCGAAGGAAAGAACTATTTTCATGAAGATTAAGAGTTCAATCCCGATCTTCGGAAATGATAAGATTATACAGTCACAGGCAGTAATACACCTCGGAGTAGCAAAGGGAGAATTGCCTCCAAGAGATGATGTATCAGATTATGAGATTCCAGATTATTTAGAAGCTCATTCATTACTCGAAGTTTTTAAGGCATCAAGAAGGATCCTTGCGGATTCAGAGATCAAAGTCAATTACGCTAGCAGTAATGTGCTAATGATCACCTACAACAAGGAAACTATCTCGAAGGAAGAAATGCAAGCCGTAGCAGATTTCGAATTAGACTTCTATCATTTAGAAGGAAAATTCGCAGGACTAGAGGAATCTATCAAGGAACAGCTCTGTAGCTTCCTGATGAGGTATGACGACCACAAATGCACTATCTGCAAAGAGCTAAAGGACAAGATAAAAAGGAGCAGCCAACCACCATCAGAAAAGTCTGAAGACATGTGAAATAAAGAAACCATGTGACTAGTTGATGTAATATGTCGGACCCAATAAAAGATAAGGTGATCAGAAACCTTATCTCTGTAATCTATATTGTGCAATTATGTAGTGTTGAGTGTAAGAGTCGGGCCCCAACATGAGATTCCATTCTTAGCTGATAAGGGTTCCAAAGCTGTATAAATATGTGACCTCTCCATTTGGAGAAGGGAGAGTGAAATAAACGAATTTGTTTCAGAACTCTCTGAAAGATCTCTCTCAAGAGATTGGCTTGAAGATCTATATCTTCTGGAGGCCTTGAATAAATTCTTTTGAATCACAAACCGATTACTCCAGAACTCTGGAACTAAACACCACCCCTGAACAATATCAAAAAACCGATCAGATCTCCGGATCACCAACAAGGAAACGATCATCACCAACACCAACCGACAGGGATTATCTACAAAAGCGAATCAGGTATGGCATCAACTTCTGCATTCGATAATTTTATACAATCAGATGAAGAATATTTCTTTGATGGAATTATAGACCTAAACAAAATACGAAAAATAAGTTTTGATCTTCAAAAAGATGAAAACTTCGAACAGACTATACTAGGAAAAATAAAGAAACAATTATCGAGAACAAACATAATAAAGTTCGGAATAATGGTAGGAGAAACACCAGTACCGATTGAACAAACTACAGGAGAACTCATTCTACCAATTATTAACAAAGAACAAATCTTAGAACGGCTCAGAAATTGTCCCGAAAAACAAAGAAAACAAATAGCCTACATACACTGTAGTACTATCCAAATAATTATAAAATCAACATTCAAAGAAGGTATCGATTCCCCGATTACCTTTCAAATTAGAGATGACAGATTAACCAATTATAAAGAAAGTATTATAGCCGAAGGAAAAGGAAATCTTTCTTCTGGGAAAATTAAATTTAACATCAATATACAACTCGGATTATCATTAAAAGATAAAGATTTGGATAATTCAATAGTTATCCAATACAAACTAGATAGAACAGATTTCATGGAAAAAGGAAATCACCCTTTTTCTATAACCTATCAGATTAACTACGCATTAACAAATAGTCATCACAGTTTAAACTTTAGAAACAAAGATATTATAGAAATAGATGACTTATTTAAACCAGTAATCTATTTAAAAAGACCACTAACAGCAATAGAACCAGGACGAAAATCGTTGTTACGACTTAACCCAAGATTAAGTATACAAGAATCACCATCTCTATTATTCAACACTGAACAATCAGAAGAAAACCAGGAAGATTACTCTAAATTACGAAGAACAATATCACAAATCAACAATCTTACAAAATGAATTTCAACGAAGACTTTATCGAAAAATTATCCCTATTAAATCTTGAAAGTTTACCATGTCTAGATCATCTTGAACAATTATTAGTTGAAACTATAGAAAGTATATTTAAAGAACGAACTTATGGAACAATCGAACCGAATGAACTTAATGAAGAAAATAGAAGAATAAAAATGATCAGTTCAATATTTAACGCAGTAAGAGAAATTAAAAGAGATATTATCGAAAACCATAACGATTAGAATGGAAAAAATATATAAGAAAAATATTGAATTATTAAACAAACCAATACAATATTTTGAAATAGAAAATAGTGTAAGAGATATGCAACGAATAATAGAAAAAGAACAAATTAATAATATAATTACAGAATTAAATAAATTAATTACAATAAAAGAAATAAAAGTTGGATACTTCAGGAAACGTTCATCGAAAGATAATTATAACGGACATTGGCTCCCATTTTTAGAAGAAACATTAAACCGGATAAGAGAAATACTAAGTTTTTTCGAAAACGAATTAAAGTCTCCTGAATAAAATAATAATAAAAAAATAATTATTATATTCAAGGATAAAATTGGAATTATCAAAATTTCAAGATCACCCTTGAAGTAAAAATGACATTTAAAGTCATTTTTGTAAATCCCCCCATTAATTTACTTGCCTTGATAAGGGGAACAAAAATCTTTAATATCTACCCACCATTTTCTCTCTCAAAGATTAGTTCTACATTTTTAACTTGGTTTTTTTTTCTCAACTATTTTATTTTGGTTTTATATGAGAAATAGTAAAAATTATTAGTGATATTCGATTGAGGCATTATCCAAAATATATTCCTTACACTAAAACTATTGTTGCACATATCTTTCTCCAGTTATGACTTTGTGACCAGAATTTGTGTATGGTCACATGATGATCACATTGGTCATAACGTTAAATTTATGGTGCATCAAATCAGCATGGTCACACCTTACATATCGCACTAATCATTTGGTAAAATCATCAAAAATTTAAAGTTGTGACCAATGTGACCATCATGTGACCATACATGAATTCTGGTCACAAGATCACAACTGGAGAAGGGTATATGTAGAAGTAGTTTTAGTATAAGGAGGATAATTTGGATATTTTGCCTATTCGAATTATCTGGCATATGATATGTCCTACAAATTTCTATACATATTTTTTACTTTACATCTCTCTCTATTTTTTTTTTTGCAAACTTAAACTTATTTATTTTTCATAAATGTTACCATAGCACTTTAATTAAGATTTGAGATTACTTTATTTTATTTTTTTTCATTCTAGATTTAAAATGATAGTTATTTTTTTCAAAACAGTATGGTTAAACGTTTCATTACAAATTGGAAACGTATTCGAAAATGATTAAAATAAACTTTATCTTCACATTTTTTAAAATGATAAAAAGTCAGTGAAATTAACAAAAAACAAATATCATTATTTAGAGGAAGCGATGGACGTTTAGGCCGTGTATCTAAAATTCAGGACAACGAAAATTAAGTTCCATCATATTTAACATCTAGTTATGAAATAATCATGAAAAAAAATGTTTTGAATCGTATAGTAATTCATTATTGCGTATAAGAATGTGATTCGAACAAATTTGCTTGACAAAAAAACGTCATAGCGTTCGGTGCATGTTCCACATCAAACTAAGTTCATGTCAAAATTCGATCATCCATCGGACAAAGCCATCCTTTGCTTCTGAGCTTCCGTAGGCAACTTAACGTCGGTGGCCAAACCGACAGCCCGGAGAAACATGATGACGTACCAAGTGACGTCCAATTGCCACCACTCTAGGCCGTGCCTCGCCGAGAATTCGAACGCGTGATGGTTGTTGTGCCACCCTTCTCCCATTGTCAATAATGCGATCCACCTAAATAAATATCCCGGAGACGTGGATATAGTTTAATATGGAAAGTTTACGTAATACTATACTTTATATTATATATATAT